AAAAGGCACAAAAAATAGAGACTATGATAAAATACAAATATTATCATCCCAAAATGAGTGAGTCATCAGCAGGATCCCATGTAATTTGATATTAACCTTTGGTTTTTGCTGCCGAGGATGCCAAAATAGAGTAATGCTAACAGATATCAAGAGAATTTATACCTGCTTATTGATAAATTCCATCGGTGACCAAGAGGTCTCCAAGTTTTTAGGGTTGCCGTCCGATTTTCACTCCGACGCGGTCCTTATTATTCTGAAACTCTCGTTGGAACTGACTGAACCGCGTTTCAATCTCTTCCAAACTGAACTCACTGAGGAAAAACTGAACTCCCCATATAGCAGAAACCATATCGAAACTACGTGAGCTAGAAAACATCAAAGACGATGGAAAAATTTCATTTTGTTGTGAAAAATATAAGAGGTATATGGTTGCTAGAGATGATTGGACTAAGAAAATGTTGAAAACGTTCGGGAAGTTATGCGACCTGCCAACAAGTGACAATTGGGTTCATCCAAATATAAAACATTCCCGGTCACTTTTGCAGCACAAGGTCGTGTAACGAAGAGAGGTAGTTTCGACCGGCAGTTTTGTAACGCATTCGAAACATTACTCTATCGACTCCTAGTTTCATTTATCAGTTTGTCTTAATTTCACGCTGGCTTTATATCTGGTTGCTTTCTGTTTATTACTGTATTGCATGTAAGTGCATTCTGTGTGCTTACTAAGTCGTCGGCTCATCTTTTTCTCTTGTTCTTTCTTCTTCCAGATAATCTCATACGCTGCTCCTCACATCTCCCTAGCACACAAGGTACACCTGGTTGGACGCAAATCAACCAAAGGCTGGAGTTACAGTTTTTCAACGCTTTCGAAACTGTACGCTACCAGCTTCTAGTTCCGATCCCTAGTTTCTTTTAATCCCATGCTTGTGTTATTCCTGATTGCTTTCGATTTTTTAACTTGTTAAAAGTAAGTTCACTTAATGTACTGACTAGGTCGTTGGTTCGCTTTTTCTCTTGCTGCAGATAACCTCACTCTCCCCCAGCCCATGAAGTATATTCAGGCTTAGTGGAGACCTATCAGAAGTTATGGTTAGGGTTACATTTTATTTTGTTCAAGATTTCACTAAACCTGTACTTGTGCTAGAGGTTTAACCCCTTAATTTTATTCAGAACCAGAACTTTGTCCAAAAAAACTCAAAATCGGTAGCTTTAGATTCAGTACGTCACTTCAAGAATAATACTTTAAACCTATTTAACCAGATAAGATTGGGAAAATTCAATTGATATTGTCTAGGAAGGTTCGGTGTAAATTCAGGCTACTTTCTGGTGCAGTGTCAACTTTTAGGCTTAGTTTTTGGGAAATAATCAGACATTTCGCCTGAGTGCCTAAGATCTGAAACGTCTATAAATTTATACCTTCATCGTCAACATGTAGTCTAATTTTTGCTAGGATTGTCTAACGTAGATGTACAAATAGGCGTTTCGTCTTCATTCCCACCAAGTTCACATATGTTTCCCGAAGTTCACCTTTAATTTCTCATCCTTGTTTAATTGGGTTTGGGTTTATAAAGCTGACCCCAGTTGATGACGATAATCCTAACACAAACATAAATGGGGAAATAAATATGAACTTCAAGGTTCTCTAATTTAGGAATTACATTTGCCACAAAAATTTGTTGTAGTGTCCTAAAATTTTTCCCGCGGTCTTTTTCCGTTATCAGTGTTGATGTGAATTTCAGGTTTAGGCCACCTAGAAAATACTATTTAAAACAGTTCACCATCGCTTCTTATTCTTCTATAGAAACAAAGTTTACTGAGGCTCCTTCTATTCATTGTACCCAGTAATGAAGTTGACGGAAAATTTTAGACTATAAATCTATACCAGAATGTATATAAGAGATGTCTTTGAGTTGTCACCCATACGTGCTGTGCATAGCAATAGCCTAAAATTATTATGTAAACACGAAGTTTACGATAATGAGTAATTTAACAGGGAATTGTCTACCATATTAAGCAACTTTCCCACTGTAATTTATTGCTTACATTTAATTGTTCTTTGACTTAGTTGAGTTTATTAATTGACTGATACAAGCTCCAAAGTTATTATTATAGTGTACCTTTATTGATTTATCAGTTACTCCTTCACATACCTACTAAGTTCTAAAATACTGTCCAGTTTTACGTCCACTGTGTAACCGTAAGGTATTCTTTTGTAGATCTTTTTAGTCTCCTGTAATCACAAACACGACACTTCCTATCATGGCGTGATGTTTTGCTTACGTGGCTTTTCTCGTAAGTGGTAAAGCTAACGTCAAATATTTAGTACGGCAAAATACACGTTGTATTATATTCTGACAAAGTAAAAATGGATACAGAAGCCTTCTAAAAATATTTAATTTGGTGCACTATCCACCCAAACACTGCAGAAATCAAACAACTTTACGGAATTGACGTATGAAACTATGCGGCACTTTATCTGAGTTATAGTTCCAAAGCAATCAAAAAACAATGCACAGTAGTGCTGTTTTTTTAACCTTCCGTTGGACGTCTACTAAGACCTAATTTGTGCGTTATTTACGTCGGATAACCTTCCATAATTATGTTATGTGGTCAAGCAAAATATTTTTCTAGTAGATTTGGTAAAGCTTTTGTGACTGATATAAAAGATGTTGCCAGTCTTAAAACAGTCGAGCAGTCGCTAAATCGTTCCACATGATTAGTTGCCATAAAACTTCATTGGTAATAAGAACGTTCTTTTCGTCCATTATGGTAGTGCATTCAGTTACAACGTTAAACTCCGTACGTACGTACAGCAGTTCGAGTTGCCATATTACAGCACAGAGACGCAATTGTCAATTCAAATCCCACAGTAACAGAGGTAGGGAAAGAATTAGCAGTAATCGGATAGATGAGGGTTCGACGATATTATCCAAGAAGTAGAATCTAGTGAAATAAACTTAAAAAGGAAAAGACTAAGGTGTTGAGGAGCTCCGAAGTTTAGGATTTGAGAGGACGGAATTAATGAATGCACGTGCGCCATTGAAAGCGATTTTGAGCCATGTTATTCAGGGTCTCTAACCATAGATTATTATCATCTCGCGGACCCTAACCCGGTGGTCTACACTTGCCAACTATGTTGATACGATTTACATTGTCTACAACATCCCAACTTTGTAATCCTATTTCTATCTTATTTCCGTTATTTTACTAGATTCACCAGTGTTAATCATGTATCCCATAAAACTAATGCACAATTATGTAGTCAGCAACTGCAGAACTAATTCTATATTTTCCTACACCGCTTTCAGCTAGTTATTTCTTGTCTTTCTAAAATACAAAGGTTTACGGTCTCATATAAAATAGTGCCGTTTCAAGCTATACAGAAATATAACTAAAAGTTATCAGTGTATTAAGTATTAAATCCAAAATACACTTGTCTTTCTGCTTTGAGAGTGAATAAATCTTAATTTTATTATCTTCCTAAGATTGTTTGGACACTCGTTTTTGTATTTCAATATTTTAGTTAGCTTCTCAATGCTTCTCAGTCCACTCTGTGCGGAGTTGCAAATCTTGAAA